CACATATTTGTTAGCTTGTGAAGACAACCCAACACAGGCACGTCAAAACTAAAATTTAACAATCCAGATCTTTTTGTAAAGGAAATACTAAGTCTTCTAGAAGTTCAAGCAGTTTATGAAAAAGTAGCAACCTCTCTGAAAATGTGTTTAATACACACCTGGTTTTCACTTGTGCAGACTGAGACATGCTGCGTTCACCCTGCCAGTCTGAAGACACTGTCCAGTGATAAAAGGTAAGAATTACTCTCTGCTGCTACAAATACTTTGGGGTGTGCTTTTGTATGAGATTATTTTTGAATGAGAAAGTAAACACAAGATTTTAAGGCAGATAAGACTGTGCTCGCAAGCTCTTCATTGAAATCCACATCCACCTGTGATCCTGCTAATTCCTTCTTCATCCATATTTCTATTGCTGTCCTACCAGAGTTCCCATTTAAGACTGGCAAACCACCAGGCAAGGTACTGCTCAAAAACATGCCAACACAGAAACATCTCAAATACGGAATTGATCTGAGTTATCAATACAGCATTGCACCAACCTGATTTTCACTGCCACTTAAACAGCCCTTCACTCAAGTGCACTAGTTCTTTTACTTCTAAATGGCTGGCACAGAAATGGTTGTAAGATAAAGCTTGGGTGAGCGCAACCCAGCAGTCGCCAACATGACTATGCCAGTGTGGATGCAGTTCTAGCACCACACTTACAGGGTGCTAATCCTTCAGGAATTTCCCACAATTCCTCCTCTTGTCTTTCCTTTTGCACAAGTTTTTGTCTTTTATGTTGCAAAGGCCTTATCTTGTCACAAAGCCTTATCTTGCTGCAGTATGAAGAATGACAGGATATGCTCCAAGGCATCTTAGTCCAGAATTCGAGTAAGGAATCAGCCTGTGGGCCACGGAAACTCAAAGTTTATTTGCAGGATGGCTGCTCATATTTAAGACAGGCATATGCATGAGAATTATCCTGAGTATAGGTAGTCCGAGTTACATCCAGCAAGACTGTGTCCTGACGTGTTGAAGACCTAAAAATCAAAAAATACTCTCAAGACTGCTTTTGCGTGTATTTTGAATAGCCTAGAATATATCTTCACCTGAATATTCACCTATCTCAATTCAGTGAGACCAATAAACACTCCAGCAATGGATACAACTTTTACAATTCACAGTCAAAGGGAGTCCAGCCTCTCTGGAAACCAACAGCCAAACGGATAGACTGTACCAAAACAAAACTACACAATAGCACATGATGTCTACAATTCTTAATGACTGATCGCCTGCTTTCAGTTTCTTTGAACTCAGCCTTCATTCATATGTGTAGATAACACATTAAAGGCAAAGAGATACATACTGAAATAACTACGCCAGCTAGACTTAAGAAACGGTGCAAAGCCAACACTTAAAATTAGATGAGGTTTGACAGAACGTATGCAAACCAAATCCACTTCCCACTACGAACCACCAACTAAAGCCTGCACAGTACATCTCCTGAAGCAGACCAAATCCACCCCAGTCTGCACATCCCTGAGAACCAAGCCCATCTCTTGGGTTTGTTCTGAGCAACACACTGACCTCAGCCTACTGCGGTAGCTGTGGAATCACAAGGAACCATTGCACACAGAAACCTCTAATCCAATAACCCACAGAGAACATAACAGCAATTGCCGAATATTGTATTACTCGCTTGAATTCTACAAAGAGAATACCAGATGCCCAAGCAAGAAATACGGCATTCATACTTAAATAGGGAAGGTTGCATACACCAAAATGACTTGGTTTCTAAGAGTGTCTAGCTGTACACTACAACGGCTAGCAAGGACATCTTCAAAGAAGTTCTTTTTAGGCTCTTCTGCTGGCAAATAGTCAGTGCCGAAGGTGTGGGATACCATCGGTAATTTCATTTTTTTCAGATTTTCTTTCGCTGTAGATCTAGATCAATTATAAAGGCTTCCCGACAAGACACAAAATGAGAGTTCAAAGTACCTAAAAAAAAAAAAAAAAACCTCATGCAAATAACACCAAGAATTTAAAAATTGATACTAATACAAAAATTGGAACATTTCCTAATAGATACAACCAAAGTTTTCCAAGCTAGAGATTCCCCAGTACCAGATTGCCTGTCCCCAGGGCACAGTGAAGTATGCAGATAATTAAGTCTATCTGGTTTTTCAACTTGTAACTCTTATGTCATTTTATGCAAACAAACTGTATTAAAAAAAAAAAATTACATTTTGACAGCATACAACTTGTTCACACAAACAACCACCAAATAAGTTCCCATATGTTATCAGAAGGAGGTTTATAATATGATGTGACCTAGTGCACAGATCTTCTAAGACTTCCAAAGTATGGCTCACTTCACACTGTCAGCACTCCGCAATCCCAAAACCCATCTTTCACTTATGGTTATTCAGCCTTCCTGCACTGAAGTATTTTTTGCATCCATCTCAAAATAAGTGTTTTGTCCTCTGGAAAAAAAGCTAATTACACCATCACTTTTGTTCCATACTGTTCCATTTTCCCCCTCTGTCCTTTTCAGCTACTGGGTCCTGATCTTCCTTCTTCTCTTCCTGTTTCCTGAACTCTTTTCTTCCAGTGTTTCTTTCCTAATTTTTGATATCCTTTTGTTTCCATGGTCATGCTTAGCTATGTTGTTGTTGTTGTTTTCTTCTTCTACCTCCTTAATCTCTGTACCTAATCACACTGTTACCTGGATGTTTCTCTCTCCCTTTTGATGACCGTTTCCCTGCCTCTGGTGACACTCCATCTCTAAAGGCAGGTCCTGCGCTCTCTTTTATCACTACAGCAACAGTCCGAGTAAACTCCTTCATTCTAGGTGCTTCTATAAGTCTACCAAACTTCAACTGTAGACACAACCAGAAATAATCTAAAAGGTTATGACTTGCCAGGTCCCTGAAGGTCACAACAGATTCTTCACAATGGGAAGAAAACCTAAAATCCCTCATTCTCCTAGAGCCTTGATATTCCTAACAAACCGAAGCATAAGGATGTAAAATAGTCCATTATCCCTCTAGTAGACACAGGGGTCATATGATTCTATGCCTTTACATCTCTGAAGCTCTTTTTATTCAGTATATCGCAGCAAAAACACAAGGAAGAACTTCCCTCATTCCCGCTTCCATCATCAACTAAGAAGAATAAGAGAATACGACACAGACCACACTCTGAAACTGCCCTTCTCATTTTTTGGGTGGGAGCATCAACACAAGTGAGAGATAGGGGTAACTTGTTCTACATTTTCTCTGTATGTGGACAACACCCTAAAATGATAAGGGTAGACAGTTCAGCAGAAGTGTTTCTGTTTTGACCTGAGCTATTTCCATCCACTATAATCCCATCACTAGCCCATCCTCACAGAGATACCGTTCACTCTCAATTCACCCAGTTCTTCCTATCGCAAAAGGAGCGATGACTTTTATTGCCGTAACTTCCAAGTCAAAACAACTTATGACTGGCCAAGAACACTTAAGTGTAAACTCCAAGAGGTTGTATATCCTTGGGACAATGCACTGTAGCGATATTTTTGGTTAGGGAAGACATATTCCAGGAATAGTTTCCCAGTGAAGGGTTTACCTCCAACGATGGAGGCAGCACACGCTAAATATTTTCTTTACAGAGGAATCACGTTTCAGTAGTATAAGAAAAGGAGGGAGCAGGACAAGCGCCACTAACATTACCCTACAGGAAAGGGGGGGTGTGCGACATTTCGCTTGGGATGCTTCTCACACGCACGACCAAAACGCTCCTGCAGCCCGTCTACGGGCAACTTCTGGCCGATGCGGAGAGACGCTCGCTCTCACGAGGTTTCCTCTCACGGCATCCCTCACGGACACCGGCCCGGCCGCGTCTCCTAGAGCGTCCTCGCCACGCGCCCCTCCGCAACGCTCCCACGGCGGCAGGCCC